GGCCGCCGGCCGGGCGCTGCGGCGCTTTTCCAAAGCACGCGTGGCCGCGGGCCGCCTCGGAGGCTGCTTCCCTGGTCCTGGGAGGTGGCCGCCGAGTCTGCGTAGACCGACAGCCGGGCGGGGGTCGTGCGGAGCTGGTACTCGGGCGTATCGCCGGCCGTCCTTCCCGCACAGCTGTCGTGTCTTTAGGAGTTCTTACTCTTACGGGGTTAGTTCGGATTAGGCGTGAAACCTGCCAGATCGCCCTCGTTCTGAATTAGGAGTGTGTCCATAGGCGAACCGCTTTTCCAGTACTTAGCATAATTTTCCTAATTTGCAAAATGAGGATGCTAGGGGTCAGCGATCTACCTTGTTTAGACCTAAATGATCCTACGAGAGCAGTTCTAATTCTCACTTGGATGGGACGCTGGAGACTAGATCAAGATCATTTTTAGAGTTCGGGATTCCCGAATTTGAATCTTCTGGTTCTCATACTCTCATACTTTTCACCGTTGATAGTCAGATTCCAATGTACTTTCTTTTTCGGCCTTGTAAAACCCAGCGTGCAGTTAATGTGGTGTGGGGCCCCATAGCTTTGATTACAGGTAGCAGCCACGTCAGCAAGCCAGCTGATGGTTTGGGGCTGCACGTGGCATTTTGGAATTGCCCGAATCTAGTATAACAGTACCCTGATGAATGACTTTTGAAGTCTTGTGATTGAGTAGAACCAGAGTTTGTCCTTATTTTATTACTTTAGAGATAGAAATCTATCTAGACTAAGAAGAGGAAGGTGATGGTTTTAGCGCTGTTCTGCACTAGGACAGTTCTAAACTCTGACTGTTACTGTTTTTACTGGATATCTCACTTCTGAAGAGACTCAACTACTGTATTGGATTACCTAACCCCAACTGTTTTCCCACCAGGCTTAACTATAATTAATTCAGCGGGCCTTTGGAATGAAGCAGTAATGTTTTGTTCCTTTTCTTTCAATTCAGGGTTATATTGGCGAATATGGCACATGGATCTTATTCAGTCTGCTGTCTTATATAGTGTGATGACCCTAGTAAGCACTTACTTGGTAGCCTTTGCCTACAAGAATGTGAAATTTGTTCTCAAGCACAAGTAAGTATATTTTTCAAGTGAAAGTATGTATGACATACTGCATTTTTTAATAGTAGGATGTCTTAAAAATCATTTTATAGGTGTGTTAGTTTCACTAAGTATGAATTTGAAATACATATGCGTATCAATTTTGGGGCAAGGCACATTTGTGCTCTATATTTGCTTTGATTAGCAAGAACTGTTAACCAAAGCAAAGACAGTGATCCATCTGACAGTAAAAATGAGTGATTATGGTAAAAATAGGAAGTACATTTTGAGGGTGAAATGAGAACATTAAGCACAAGCCTGAACCGTGGGATTCATCAGAAAAAAATCCTATCCCTGAATTTAACATTTCAGTAGAGTTTTTCCTGAAAACTGTTTTGTGCCATTCGCTTAGTAAAGTGAGAGAAATGTGTGAGGTATGTGTTTCTGCAGTATTGGAGATTGAACCCAGAACGTTTGAGACAGGGTCTTGCTAAGTTGCCCACTCTGGGGTCAAACTTTTGGTCCTCCTGCCTCAGCCTTCCGAGTGCAGGGATTATAGGCTTGCAGCGCGCAGGGTGTTATTTTTTTTTTTTTAATTAAACTCTGACTTTTTCAATGCCAGTTCCATTTTTTATAAGTGTGTTTGATGTAAAGGATTACCATATTTCCTGTATTTTAAGATCACACATATCATAGAAAACAGAATTACTTAACAGTAGCTTTTGGAGGAGAAAACCCAAACATAACAACAGTATATTTATACCTTAATTATAAACTGTTGTATACTCTTGTTTCATAAAGATTAAAATAGAGGGAGCGTCTAGATTGAGGAAAGATGAGAATTTATCCGAGTCTGTGGTTGTCGTGCGAAGCAGGTGTGGATTAGTGTTTAATCAGAAGTTATTTTTGTGCATACTTTCGCGACAGCAGGAGAGTGCTTTGTCTCAGTGGGCCCCTTTAGGTTTTGTGTTTCTTTGGAAGTAATTTTGTAAAGGCATTTGGAATTTTGCTGAGATTGTAAGTGCTGGGATGCTTTGTATATAAATTATATTTTCATTTCTATGGTATTCTCTATAGTTGGGACACTTCTTTTGCTTGGATCACTGTAACACTGTCCATCTGCTATCAGAAAAGTCGAGTGCCCCTCAGGCCCCGTGCGGTGCCCGTCCCCATGTTACCCTTGTTTTACGGTATGTGAGTATGTACTGATTTGACACATCTTTATCGCATCTCTTTAACTCATCACAGCCTTCTTTTTTTGAAAGTATTGAGGCCAACTTCCTGCAGACTCCTGTAATGTGGGGCACCTGCCTCCTTGTGAGTGTAGCCTCATCTTTCAGAATTGGGGCTTAGTTCTTGAATGTGCCTTGTGCCATTTAGGGTTATCTCCTTTCCTTTCTATTCCTGTGTGTCTGTTATTTCGAGACATAGAAAACTTTCCCAGGCAAATATTTCCTGACTTTGATCATTCCTTTGCTTTGTTATGCCTACAGTATTCTCTGGGTGGTGAGGAATAGTGCTTTGTTGAGATGATGTCAGTTAACAGGGGTTTATTATAAGAAATGACCATAAATGGCCTCGGCCGTTGAAAGTGGCCTCGGCAGCTTCCTTGCTGTTATTCTGGAAACACAGCAGCTCCGGTTTCATGGCTGCAGTTCTGAAAGACCAGCAGAGTAATCAGGTCATCTTTGTCATCTTTCTGTTCGGCAGTGCTTTTGCCAGCTGCCATTCCAGGCTTCAGACCAACTCAGGCTCTGCCGATCTGGCCTGTGTTCTTGGGAGGCCTGACCCTCTGTGGGCAGGGAAACCTGCAGAAGTGGCCTCTTGCCTGACCTGTCCTTTATGATCCTCTCGGAACTCTGTCCCTTTGATGCTTAACATTTTAACTTGTCCTGCGTGCCGTTTTAATTCACTGTTTTGAAATCAGATCAAAGCTGTATTTTTTTTACCTTCTCATTTCTACTTTACTCCTTCCTTCTTTCCTTCCTTCTTCTTTCTCTCTTTTCTCTCTTCTCTCTTTTTCTTCTCTTTCTCTTTCTCTTCTCTCTCTTTCCTCCCTCCCTTCCTGCCTCGCTTCCTTTTTAGGGTCTTGCTGTGTAGTTCAGGCTGGCCTTAAATTCGTTATGTAGCTAGTCTTGAACTCGCTGCAGTCCTGCCTCAGCCACCCGAGCGCGCTGGGATTACATGTGTGTGCCACCATGCTCTTGAGGGAGACTGTGATATCTTTTGCTGTATGACTCTGTGGTGGTGGTGGTGTTTTTTGTTTTTTGTTTTTGTCAGGGCCTCACTATGTAGTTCAGGCTGGTATCGAACCCACTGTGTAGCCCAGGCTAGCCTTGACCTCGAAGCACTCATCCTATGTGCCACCATATCTGGCTGCTTTATTAACTTATAACAGATAATGGTACATTTAGTTCAGTAAAATTTCAATGACTCTCTGACTTAATAGGCTCTTGAAGTGAATCTTTTTTAGATTTATAGTTCCAGTTTAAAGTCTTAATTCTGACATCAAAACTGCAGATTTACAAAATGGTTAAGGCCCAAAGACCCAGTGAGAGCCGGCACAGTGGTGCATGCCTGATCCCAGCACTGGGAGGCTGAGGTAGGAGGATGGATCAGTGCACGTTTGAGGCCAGCCTGGGATATAAAGTGAGTTCAAGACCAGCCTGAACTACGTAGGGAGACCCTGTCTCAAAAAACAAAACAAAATAACCAAGCGAACAACAGCAGCGGAAGCCCTGTGAGATGCTGAGTGCTAGCAGGAAATGGTAGGAGAGGGACGATGGCTTTGTGGTCAGCCTGGGGTCCAGTGTCTTCTGTGTGATATTGGGCATATATTTTGCCTCTGTAAAAAGTTAATTATTTTTTATTATTACTATGAATTCTTGAAGATTTCCGACATACTGATGTAAAAAAAATAAAAGAAGAGAAACGGTTGGTTTATGAATGGTTATCTCAGTTGGCTGAATGCGAGGCCGGTGGAGTGAAAGTCCTTGTCTTGTTATGAAACATTAAGCCCTAAATGAGGTTTCTTTCTCATAGCCCTAAGACGGGGTGAGGACTTTTTTGAGTAACAGTAAACCTAGAGTGGTTGTTCTGCGTCTGGTATAAGAATATAGAATTCTAGACCTAGAAAAGAAATTACTTCGTTACCTGGTTTTCAGGGTCTTGTGGGAAGATTTGTCCTGTGAATAGTTCACTATTTGTGTTAATGATGCTTCGGGATAACTAACTCCTGCGGCTAGTTTGTGTGCTAGCACCCTGGCGGTTGTGTGTATTTTTGATGTTCACCTAAGAGAATTTTGCTATAAAGCTGTGTCCATCTCTTTTCAATAGGTCTTTTATAGAAGAAGAAAAAAAGCAGTAGGATGTTATGTTCAAGAAACACTTTGTGCCCGGTCTGCTAAAGAGAAATCTCTACCTTTGGAGCCTGGCTTTTCAGAAATGAAAGAAGTGCCTGAAAAGACAGTTTTTACATAATAAAGTTAGTTAAATGATGTTGGATCTTTGGCATAGAAGTACCTCATAAGGCCCTACAGTATCTTTTTAAAATGATAGCTGTCTGTCCCCTTCGGTGTGTTTTCCTTCAGGTTTTCAGAGCTTGCTTCTTTTTACCTGTTTTTCTTGGGCAGTTTTTTCTATGTGACTTTGTGAATACAAAACACATTCACTGGAACTGGCAGTTTTCTTCAAAACAATGTCGGTTCTAACTCTGGTCTTGAATGAGAGAGCTGGAGATGGGGCATAGGTAAAAGGCAGTCACAGTTTGTGCTTACATTGCATCTCAGAAGCACTTGTGTTTGAGTAAGGACTGAAATTTACTTCCTTTAGTGATCTTGGGTTTTCTTCCTTGGAACCCACTCAGATTTCTGCACAGTTTTCTTCAGTACCCTGGCAAAACTAAATGCAGTTCGGTAATGAGAATGCTCACTGGAGTACGGAGTGCACGGGTTTCTACGTCCTCGTTCCATTGGGATACTAGCTTAAGTGCTTTGGGTTTTTTTTTTTTTTTTCCTTTTGAAACAGGGTTTTGTTATGTAGTTCAGGCTGGCTTTAAACTTAGCAGCGGTCCTCCCCGCCTCAGCCTCCTGAGTGCCGGGGTTATAGGCCTGAGCTGCCACACTTGGCTGATTGTTCTTGTAGCGGGATTGGTAGTAATTTGTTCAATTTTGCTTATGGTCAGTTACTGCTGTTTCTATATTTATGGCTGACTAGTTATTAGACTATGAAAACTATAGTAAGTTGAGTTTAAATGCTGTGATTGTGTTTTTCTTTTTTTGTATTTCGTCATAGTTTAAATTTTATTTCACTAACAGCCACGTCTGGTGAAATTCAGCCATTGTTTTTTGATGAATATGTCTTTAATTTTTTTCTGGGTATAACTTGGCACTGAAGATTCCGATCTGAGATCTCCATGGACATCTCCAGCCTTTTCTGGCTGGCTCCATGTTAACTTTCGATGGAAGCCTCACACCAGCAGTTCATTTAGCTAGAGTGGTTGGCCCGTCTCTGTCTGCATTACTGCTCTTTCAAATAAAGTTGTCCTTTAGGGTTAAAAGCATAACTTTGAGATATTGCAGCTCTTATTTCTGATTATTTGTTTAAAGTCAAGATTTCTCTCCTATAATTTACTTGGAATTGAAATCACTTATTTACTAATGTCTTAGCAATTTTGCTGAAAAATTATCGGTTAAAATGAAATATACTTACAGGGTGAGGTGTAGTGGTACATGCCTGTAATCCCAGGACTCAGAAAGCTGAGGCAGGAGGATCACGGCAAGTTCAAGGCCAGCCTGAGCTACATACTGAGAACCTATCTAAACAAAAAAAAAAGAAAGAAAGAAAAGAAATACAATGATTAATAGTTGTGCTAATAGCATTTGACTTTTATATCCATATTAAATATCTAAACTTTAAAAAAATGTCTCTTTTAAACAGAAGTCAAAGCACATAACTAACCACATCTTGAGAGTTTAATAACTAATGAACCGTATCTTAGAAGTTTCTTGAACTCCTCTTTTGGCTAGTACAATGTAATAAACTTAGAACTTTCTGTGCAGTTTATTTTCTTGAAGTATAAAGTATCGTTCAGTTGCCAATACAAAATATGAGTACAGAGTGTTCTTGGAGTGTGCTTTTCACCCCTGGAACATGGGGAAACTTCTCTTTTTGTCTTTTTCTTTCAGAGTAGCACAGAAGAGGGAGGATGCTGTTTCCAAGGAAGTGACTCGAAAACTTTCTGAAGCTGATAATAGAAGGATGTCTCGGAAAGAAAAAGATGAAAGGTTTGTCTTCTAATTTAAAGGTTCAGTGGTAATCAAGAAAGGGGGTACACTGGAGAAAAATAGGCTTTCGATTTTTGCTTAGAGAATGTGGCTATTGGGATTGAAGGTAGATTTTGGAATTGTGGCAGTAGCGATGGGAAGAGTAATAGCTGACTTTCTGAGGTTTATTAGCACCAGATACTTCTCTTAGAGCCGCATAACGTAGTTACTTTGTTCTAAGGAGTGAGGCAGATACTCCTATTAGCTCCGTTTTGCATCTGGGGGCACGAAGGCACAGAAAGCTTGGGTAAGTTGCCCAGGGTTGTAGATTAGTACCTAGCGGTTGTATAATAGTCAGGAAGTCTGACTTGAGTGCTTTACCTAGCACTGTTCTGCTGGCATTTAGGAGAAGATAGAACTTTGTTGTGTCTAATCTTTGTTGTTGATATTTATTGATTGATTGTCTTTTTGAGACCGGGTCTCACTATGCCGTTCAGGCTGGCCTTGAGCTCACTTTGTAGCCCAGGCTGATCTCGAACTTGCAGCAATCTTCCTGCCTCAGCCTCCCGAGTGCTGCGATTACAGACATGTGCCACCTCATCCAGCATGTTGTTGATATTTACATGACCTTGAACATGTCACCTCATCCCTAGAGTCTGAAGGGTGCACTTTGAGATACATGTGAGAATTTCTGGGTAGTGGTATTTCTGGTCCTGAGCTTCCCAGGGGACATCCAGTTCTTGGGTGACTGGGGAAAAGAAGGAACTGGTCTGTCTTCTGTGGCCAGGTTCTGTGCCATGTGTGTTAGTCCCTCTCTCACGTTTTTGTGTCAGTTCTCTGAAGGTTTATTAGTCTATCATTTAGCCTGTGTACCTGAGTGATTGAGAAAATTTGTGCTTAAGAGTTGTTACGTGGCTTAGTAGTCATGAATGTGCTTGCTTTTCATGTGTCTGAAGTTTTGCTATCAGCAGTGTGCTTTGTAGGACAGAATTTTTACCACACTTTGCTCCTATGAGAACTTGCAGTATTAAAACAAAGTCATGTAATTTATAAAGATCAGAAACCATTTTAAAAAAGAAAAAGTTGGGAGGTCAGGGTTATAATTCAGCGGCGCAGCGCCTGCCTGGCAAGCAGAGGTCCTAAGTTCGATTACTTGTACCTGAAAAAAAGAAAAGGCATGTGAGTGAGGACCCTGGAGTTACAGCATTTGAGCGCTAACTGTAGCTCCACGCTCCCAGGTGCGCATAAAGCCTCTGCGGTCATAACAGCCTTCATTGTCGAAGATGAGCAGCGTGCAAGTCCTTCTGAAAAGCAGCTTTGCTGGCACAGAGTCTCGGGAAGACTGTCAAGAAGATCCTTGTATGAGGGACACCGAGTAACTTAGAGAACATTGTCTTCCACAGTGATTGTGGGATGACAGCAAAGCATTAATGAAGTGATTATCTCCTTTAGATCCTTTATAAAAGCGAAGGCACAGTATTAAAGTCACAGCAATGAAGGCCTTTTTTTTGCAGGAAGCGCCTGTAATGAGGTGTGGCTGCAGGGCTTTCTGATGGTATATTTTTGTAGGAATAGAGGTTGGAGAATCTAGAACACTTTAAATTTTTTTTTGTTGAATTGTATTGCTTAGAACAGTGTTTCTTAAATGGAGGTGCATATCATGGCTGCTCAGCTTTTGGATTGCTTGTTACAGCTGTTGCAGGTTTGGGGTGATGATTCTGTGTGGGATGCCTCATGCCCACCACCGACTTGCCTGATTTCGTCTGACACTTGTTTTTAACCTTAGGCTCTGTCTAGTGTTTATGTAGTTATTTCAGAGTCGGATTTGAGAATAAAGCCTCTCTGCCCTGTGATGGATTAGGTATTTCAGAGTAGGTTAAGGTAGATATTTCATGGATGTATAAAATGCAGACTGTGAGGTTATAAAATTTCTACCCTTGTATCAGTGGAAATTAATCCTTTCACAAAATCCACAGTGGATGGTTGTACCAGGCCTGTACTGATGGCTGACGGTGGTAACTGAGAGCGGAGATCTCCTAAGATTTGCTGTTTTTCTCTCAGAAGACATGTTGCTTCCGGGAGATTAGATTTAAGGGAAAGCTCATCGGCTCTTTTCCTAGATCTGTAGCTCTCAGAGGTCATGTACAGTCCTTAGAGTATATATTTCATGCCTCTTGGAATGTGCTTTAAAATGCCCATTCACCTAAGGATGGAAATAAGCAGAGGAGGGTAGAAGAGTGATTGATGTCTGCCCTGGGCTGTGAGTGTTACTTACCTTACATTTATTGATGATCTGTTACTTAACTTTTTCTGGTCATAACTGTTGCTGTTAGGGCTCAGCTTTTCTCTTACTGTGGGAAGCTCTTTCTCGAAGAGGACTCCTTGGGATGTAGTCTCCCAAGCTAGATTTTTCTATCAGTGAAGCTTCGGCAAGCAGGACATTTAGGGGGTTTAAATTTTTATGAAAATAACCAGTATATGGGTGGACCAGAAAAAGTTCCAAAGGCTGTCAGACGGTTCTTGACTTATATGCACTGACGAGTACGTGGTAGTAGTTGGGAGCAAGGGTAACTGAAGCATTAGGCCGTCTTTCATCAGAACTACTTTGAAGATGATTCTGATGCAGAACATGACAGAAAGGGAGCTGGCGAGGAGAAATGTGTTGGAGATTCGGTAATTTAATCAGTACAGTAAAGGCATGCTGGTAGATTACTTAAGGAGCCTGTCTTCATTGGGTTTTGTGTTAAAAATAAATGCTTTCCTTTCTTTGATCAATCTGAGGGTGGTAAAAATGTATTTTCTCCGAGTGTGTGTGTGTGTGTGTG